TGAGCTATCATTATCTTTATCGTCACTCTTTGAATGTGTATTCCTTGCCTTTACAATGCAGGGGAACTGGATACCCTGATCTTTGGCCCTCTCCATCTTGCCGAGAGCCCCTTGACGTTACTAAAAACTTTACCTTCGATGTGATTTCTGGCATTTTATCAGGTCTACTACAACTAGTTAGCTCATTTTTGGTAGTACTAACCTTGATACATATCATGTCTTAGTTTGTGTATTATTATGTACATATATTTGTATGTACTATTTTGATTCTCGTATATTCCTCTCTCATCTCATCTTGGTTTGTAACAGATATGAGAAAGATATTCCCATTTGAGTTTTTCCACTTGGGCGGTGATGAAGTAAATACAGGTTGGTTTTGTTTATTTGTCTTGTGCTTGTCACTCTTTTCACTTAAAAGGCTAAATGTTGCATGTTTTTGGCAGATTGCTGGAAAAATACAACTCATGTCAAGGAATGGTACAATCATATATATGACTCTTCTTTTCATGTCACTCACTCATCATTCAGTATAAGAGACACTTCAAAGTTATCTTTTTAGTTTGATATATATGTTTGTCCATCATCAGGCTTCATGGTCGCAACTTCACTTCTAAAGACGCATATAAGTACTTTGTACTTCGAGCTCAACAGATAGCCATATCGAAAAACTGGACACCCGTCAACTGGTACAATCTCTTGACAAAGATAGCAAAAACTTTGTAGCTGAAGTTTCATTATGTGTCAAGTTCTCTGCCTTGAATACAACATAATGTTGTGACTCTTCAGGGAAGAAACCTTCAGTTCATTTGGAAAAGATCTTGATCCTCGAACCGTGGTGCAAAACTGGTAAAGATTATACAATACCAATGTTAATAAGAACATGAATCTTCGTTTATGTCAAAGCTGCTCTCTAATCTCGTTACAGGTTAGTATCTGATATATGTCAAAAGGCAGTAGCAAGAGGATTCAGATGCATTTTCAGTAACCAAGGTTATTGGTACCTAGACCATCTAGATGTCCCATGGGACGAGGTTTACAACACTGAGCCTCTAAAGGGAATCCATGATCCTTCTCAGCAAAAGCTTGTGATTGGTGGAGAAGTTTGCATGTGGGGTGAAACAGCTGATACATCCGTTGTACTTCAAACAATTTGGCCTAGAGCTGCTGCAGCTGCAGGTAAACTCTTAAGGCTTCAGTGGTAATGTTTAAAACCGCATTTAATAGTAACAAAAATCTCTGTAATGACTTTTAGCAATAAAAATTTATTGGTCTCATGAATCTTTTGGTGGAAACAGAACGGATGTGGAGCACTAGAGAAGCTGTATCAAAAGGAAACATAACGTTAACTGCATTGCCTCGTTTACACTACTTCAGATGTTTACTGAATAACCGTGGGGTTCCAGCAGCTCCAGTTGGTAACTGGTACGCACGAAGACCACCCTCCGGACCTGGCTCTTGCTATGCTCAGTGATTCCAGCATCTCCATTGTAATTTGTATTATACGTCATGTCTCTATATGAAAACTGGTTCTTGCATTTGTTTTTTCTTTAACTGTCTTCAAAGTTGTGTTCTGTTTTTTTTTTTTTTTTTTTTTGCTTGCAACAATAATTAATCATCGTGAGACCATCTGAAATTTTTGTGCTCCTACCAGTGTTATTTACTCCATTTGTTTCAAAATGTAAGTTGTTTTACGCAATTTTTATATCTACTGTATAGCGTATGACTAGTTAAATTAATTTTTAATGACTGGGTGAACTAAATCTAATTTATAAGTTAAATAATATTTTAGAAAATAATAATTTTCTTAATTTTGTGTTTTTATTTGACATATTGTTAAACAGAAGGAATACCATATAGCATTTTGGATTTTGTTTACATTCTGCTGAAAAGATACCTCATTATTGTAATATTTCTTTGTGGACTGGTCTTACATATAGCAAAACAAGATGGACCTGTAATGTAATGATGTTTAAACATAGCTACAAGGTTGATTTGTTTTGATGTTTGTAGGCTTGGATTGTATGCATTCGCATATTTACATTTTTAAAACAATGTGTTCGAAAGCATTACGTTTTGATTTTTGAAAATGCTTACAGCATTCAAATATAAGCATAGTTGATAGTTCCGTATGAAAATGGACGTTTATTTTATAGCATACACGTAGATATGATATTAGCTACTCAGTCAAGTCCACATGAATTAGATATATTTTTGTATGGTTTTGTTAACAAAAAATGGTACAAAAGCTATATAGTTCAGGCTTCTTCTCCTTGTGACATTATCTATAGCAGTGTGGGAAGAAAAGAAGAGATATCTATTGCATTGACGTCGACGTGTAGGTTACAATTATTGACCGAAGAACATCATCTATAACGACTGCGTCCTTAAATTCTCAAGAAAATCCAACGTTATATTATAAAAATATCACATGAAAATGATATGGTTTTGACTAGTTCTTCCACTCCTATCTTTTCTAACAAACGATGTTCATGAAGTTTTACTTATTTGCTTCTCAATAGTAGTTAAAGTCGTTGATAGCGTAGGGTTGTGCGTGGTTCATGTATTGGTGTTTTATATGTAAAGCAAAAGTTATAGAGTTCTAAAATTATGAAATTTAATTGTTTTTTTTTTGTAAGTGAATGGTTTATATTTGGCGATGAACTAAAAAAATAAAGGGACATGTATTATTTTTGCAAATAATCATGGAAGTGTTTTTTTTTTTTTTTTGACAACATAATCATGGAAGTGTAGAAAAAACAAGTAAAACGGATTCATTTTTTGGTTGTAAGTTTATGCCTAATAGAGTTTTACTATAGTTGTATATTTTACATGTGTATGGTATATAATTGTATATACTGTATTCATTATACAACAAAATTGTCTTTCAAAATTATGTAGGAAGTAAATTTTTTTTTTTTTTTTTAAAATGTAATCACGTAACGTCATGATTTCGAAATTTTGAGTGTGACTTATGTGTTTTAAAAAATGATTAAAGATGGCATAACTAAAAAAATGGCTATAAGTTGAAGCTATAAAATGTGATTTTGTTAGACATTTGAAGTGATGTGATATTTACAAAATTGATTAAAAATGGCATAACTAAAAATGGCTATAGGTTAAAGCTATAAAATGATTACTTAACGTTAAATCTAATGGATGGATGGAATCTTAGAATTCACTTTTGATATAGTTAACTAGACTTCAGAGTTGTGCATACAACACTTTGAACGTCAGACATCGAATAGTTAAGGTCAATACCACACATATATACAACCACAATATTTTTGTTTATTACAGTCATAAATACTACAATAGCTTATCCTTATCGTTCCAAACGTGATAGATACGACAATCGTCTCGGATGCTTTCACTGCTAAATCCGAATAAATGTGGTTACTATGTAAAATTCAAAGCTGCGTACTATAAGTCACAGGAAAGTATATTTATGCAAGAAATTGTTTATTTTTGTTTTGTTTTTTCTCCAAAAGAAAACAAATTAATATTGCGAACAAGACAAAAATAAAGAATAAATAAAACAACAATCATTACTGTCAATTATCACGGGAAAAGATTATAAAAATGTCCACCATAGAATTAGAAATCTCATCATGTTTTTTTTTTTAAACTGATAATGTGTTTTTTTTTGTAACTGATCCTGTTTTTTTGGTTCTTGCAAGTCTTAATAATCTGTAGCAAAATGGCCTCTAAAATATCAAAAGAAAATAAAAAGAGAAAAATAGAAGATAAACATTCTTTATATTCTAAAATGTAAATATTTTAAGTTTTATTCTATAAGAAAAATAATTATCTATAATATTGTTTGTAAAGTGATTTTTCGGATTCAAACTCTCGTATTAAAAATTAAAGTATCGTTGACACCTTTAATAAATTGTTATATATACTTTATCATATACTTAAAACGATTTTTATGTTAATAATATTAGATTTATATGTTATATTAGATAACTAAGTATAAACTAATATAATAACAAAGTAAAACATTTTTAGAAAAATAAGATCATTCTTATATTTTTGTGTTATTATCTAGATTTATATTATAAAAGTTAAAAATTAATATATAAAATAATTTATAATTTAATACTAGTCAAGCAAAAATATTTTTATAAATATATTGTCTAAAACATTTCTAATATGTGAGTATTTTAAAAATTTCAACACAATAATAAATGTATATATATATTAATCAAATATTTGTCACATATAAATAATCGATTGTGTGGAAATCTCCTTTGGTCTAGTTTTTTTACTAAGGATCATTAATTCTTCTACATCAAAAGATTTGAGTTCGAATCTGACAAAAATGATATTATGTAAATTAAAGAAAAGATTTACAAGAGATGTGCATAATAGCACAAGGAGAATTGTCACAGGATAACTCAACTGATACAGTCAGTCGTGAATTCTCATAAGGCAAGTAGAATTATCCGTTGTTGAATCGTCTATAATATTTTTCATAGTTTGTAATAACATAACTATCCAACGTTTAAAATAAAATATAATTTAGTATTTGATTTAATTTTTTAAGAACATAAGTAACAATTTATCATATTGATTTTTAAATTAATAAGACATACATTTATAGATATTCGTAGGAAGATTTTGATCGTATATACAGACAAAACATCTAGTTTTACTATATATGATTCTCTAGCAATGTTACCATATACTTAAAAAAAACTCAGATGTAAAATTTAACATAGGAAACATATATAGTAAAATAATTACTTTTTAACTAAAATCAAACAATTTAATTTATGTGTGAAAAAATTCCTAAATCCCAAGGTAATTTATTACTCTCTGTCAAAAACAAAAGTTAGGAATTAGAAACATTTTGATTCAAAAGTTTCAACGCGTTTCAATAAAGAATTCAACCATTTCGTGCTCAGGAGAAAACAGTTCCAATTAAGTAAAATTAATCAAGCGATTATAAACAAATTGTAATTAAAAATTTCACTTATTTTTCCTTTTGCGTTCATCTTCTTCTCTTCTCTCTCTCTCTCTCCACGGAAGAAAAAAGTAGATCTATCTTTGACGGTTCTCCCTCTCTCTCAATCGTCTTCTTCACTCCGTAAGTTCCAAATCTCTCCCATCAAACCCTTTTTTGCCTTTTCTCAGATTCACGATTTCTTTTTAAAGTTATCTAATTTGAATCTGCTTATTCTTTTTCCTGCAGTTTGCCTATCTTGTCGTGTCTGATCTGATACTCTGGTTCCTGTTTAAAGGGTTTGGTCGGAATATAGAGTAAGAGAGAGTCTATGGCCAGAAGCAAAGATTAGGTTATTGTCCTGAGGCAAAACATAGCAGTTTTTGGTTTTTCTTGGAACCATAAAGTTAAAGTCTTTTGCTTTGTGTTGTTGTTGTGTCTAATTATTTAAAAGATTTGGATGGTGGGAAGAGAGGGGAATGAGGAAGCTCCTCCTCCTCCTCCTGGTTCCAAAAGAATGTTTTGGCGTTCCGCCTCTTGGTCCGCTTCACGACAAGCTCCCAACAGTGAGGACCACCAACATCTTACCAATCCCTGTGCTAGTAGTAACTCTGGTCCGAGCCGTAGATTCCAAGCTCCTCCTCTAACACCTCGCTCACATCACAACAGCAAGGCTAGAGCTTGTTTGCCTCCGTTGCAGCCTCTTTCCATTTCGAGAAGGAGCTTAGACGAGTGGCCTAAAGCAGGGTCTGATGATGTAGGTGAGTGGCCTCATCCACCAACAACTCCTAGTGGGAAGGAGAGATTAAAGCTTGACTTATCATCGACACAACATAGAGTCAATGATAAAAGCTCTGGTTTAGCTAAGAGGGAGAAGATCGCTTGCTTTGATAAAGAATGCTCCAAAGTAGCTGATCATATCTATGTTGGTGGAGATGCTGTGGCCAAGGATAAAGACATATTAAAGAATAATGGGATCACACATATCTTGAACTGCGTTGGTTTTATCTGCCCTGAATATTTCAAGTCTGATTTTTGTTACCGGTCTTTGTGGTTGAGGGATAGTCCATCAGAGGATATAACTAGTATTCTATACGATGTGTTTGACTACTTTGAAGACGTTAGGGAGCAGAGTGGGAGGATCTTTGTTCACTGCTGTCAAGGAGTGTCACGGTCCACTTCGTTGGTGATTGCGTATCTGATGTGGAGAGAAGGGCAGAGCTTTGACGATGCGTTTCAGTATGTGAAGTCAGCTAGAGGGATTGCAGATCCCAACATGGGCTTTGCTTGTCAGTTGTTACAGTGTCAGAAGCGTGTTCACGCGTTCCCTCTTAGCCCTACTTCTTTGCTTAGGATGTACAAAATGTCTCCCCACTCTCCTTATGATCCTTTGCATCTTGTTCCTAAGCTGTTGAATGATCCGTCCCCGTCGTCTCTGGATTCGAGAGGCGCGTTTATATTACAGTTACCTTCTGCTATTTACATTTGGGTTGGGAGGGAGTGTGAGGGCATCATGGAGAGAGATGCAAAAGCTGCTGTTTGTCAGATTGCGAGGTATGAGAAAGTGGAAGCACCTATAATGGTGGTGAGAGAAGGAGAGGAGCCTGGTTATTACTGGGACGCTTTCGCTAGCATTTTGCCTATGGTTGGTGGGGACTCTGTTGTTAAATCTCAAGCAGGTGAGAGGAAGGTGGAAGCATATAATCTTGATTTTGAGATTTTTCAGAAAGCAATTGAGGGTGGTTTTGTACCGACTCTAGCATCATCCAACAATGAGCATGAGACTCATCTTCCTGCAAGGGAGAACAGTTGGAGTTCACTGAAATGCAAGTTTGCGTCAAGGTTTGAGAGGGGGTTTCGTTATGTCTCCAAAACACCACTTTCAAGAGTCTATTCTGATTCGATGATGATTGTGCATGCATTAGGCTCACCTTCATCAACAACGTCTTCATCATCGCCTCCTTTGAGACATTCTTCTACTCCACCACCTTTGATGCTGCCCAAGTTTTCCAGCTTATCTCTCCTTCCTTCCCCAACCTCTACTGAACCATCACCAGGTAGGAAGGCTTCTCCTTCTCTTGCAGAGCGTAGAGGTGGTCTAAAAGGGTCTCTGAAGCTGCCAGGCTTAGCTGATTCCAACAAAGGCATCACTTTACATACTGATGATAGTAATGACATTGTCTTCAACTTGGAGGGTGTTAGAAAAGGTGATCAAAACCCAGTAGATGATTGCAAGGAGGGGACAATACCTTCTGACAGAACAGTAGATTCAGATTTGCCACAAAAGGAAATGACATCCTTAAACAGTTGCATTAAATCTGATAAAGATGAATCAGGAAGTGGCCAGCCTTTAGCATGTAGGTGGCCAAGTATGGAGATGATTACAGAACTGAGCAGAGCTTACTTAGATTCAGATTCTGTTGTAGCAATTCTGTTGCCAAGTGATGATGTAGGAGAAACCAATATTAGGATTTTGTACATTTGGATAGGAAAGTCATTCTCTTTCGATAACAACTCTTCTATGTTAGATAGTAACAAAGGAATAGACAGTGTGGAGAATCTTGATTGGGTACAGATTGGTAAAGCCATTTTGTCTCAGATGGACTTGCCAAAAGATACCCCTATGAAGGTAATAGCTAGAATTATTGTTACCTTTCACTAGATTATTGTTATAAATCTAGAGAAGCCGAATCTATTATATAAATCAAGAAGTTTATTGTGGTTTATTTACAATTGCTTTGATTTCGTGGTGACTTAGTTATTGTGGTTCTCATATTGTTATGGTCCTTTTATTGTGTGTTAATTACTAACTGATAAGTTGCTTCTCCATTTGTTCACAGATAGTTAGAGAAGCTGAGGATCAAACAGAGTTTCTTGCTCTGCTAAGTGCGCTGTAGCGCCTGCGCGCAAGTTCAACACATTTACTCTTCTTTTTCCTTTCTCCTTTCACAGATTCCTTCCACCAACACGTTCCCATTTTCTGTTCAGCTCAGGTGAGAAGTTTTTCTAAACACAATCTGTAATTACATTCTAATCTGAGTATGGTTGGAAGTTGGAACAAAACATTAATAAGCTAGGATGATCTGTTTTGCCACACTCAACCATATCATCGTTCTTTTTGTTTTGCATCTGATGTAGGTCTCTCTCTCTCTCTCTGTGGTTATGGAAGTTGAAGTTGAGAGAAAACAACTCTCTTGTACAGTTAGGAAAACTTATTTCTGCGAGAATGTATTCCTCAAGGAGCCATTTATTAGCATATGTTATAATCAGATGAAACTGCAAGGTTTAGGGGCTCTAAGAAGGTTTTAGATTATAATGGAATTTCTGCTTACAATGTTTACATATACTCTCACCAGTTGGTAAACCTCCTTTTACGTTGTTCAAGTAATGTACTGAAGTAGGTTTTGAATTGTGTTGGAAGTGTAATCCAAGAGTTGCTGTTTAAACCCTTCGTTTACTTATCTCTTCCTCGTCCAGTTTTGATCTAAAACAGCAAAACCAAATAAAATGGGCATTTCGGTCTCTTTAAGTTCTTACTCCTCCTGTCAATGCTTAAAAGACATTCATGTTGATATGTTTTTCTTAACCCAAATTCGTTTTAACAACAGTGGCATCTACCGTTTATCATTCTGTTTCTTTTAGTCTATTTCTGTTCGAGTTAAAAAGGGTAATAAATTAATTAAAAAAAAAATTAAAAGATGTAAGCGTCTAATATATACTCCCTCCGTTCCACAATATAAGATGTTTTATCCAAAGCATAAGAATTAAGAAACTTAATCTTTTAAAAGATAACATCATTGATAGTATAAATTTAAAATAAATTAAAAGATAACTATTGGTCAACCGGTTCTCTATAAAGTTAAAGTACCTTAAAAGTATCAAAACATCTTATAATTTGAAACATTAATTTTCTCTAGAACATCTTATACTCCCTTCGTTTTATATTAAGTGTCGTTGTAGAAAATTTTTTGTGTTACAAAATAAGTGTCGTTTTCGGTTTTCAATACAAAATTTATTAATTTTATTATGTAATTTGTTTTTCTATTGGTTAAACTATGGTTAGGTGTGTGGGTAATTGTGTTTTTATATAGGAAATATGTTAAATTAATTGTTTTCTTAATCCGTGTGCGTAGAGTGACACTTATACTAAAACAGAGGGAGTATTATGGAACGGAGGGAGTACACATTCACCCAATTAAAATGGGCTTTTTAAATCATTTGATAGAAGAAGGCCCATTTATAAAAGGCCCATAAAGCAACGATCTAGGGTTTTGATGAGTCGTCTTCTTTATCTTTTCATTTTCCTTCTCAAAGGTTTTTCGTTTCGCCGCTCAGGTTCGTCTCTTTTCCCTTCTTCTCAACTTAAATCGCTTTCTGGGTATTGAGTAGATGACATTAACTGTTTCTGGCGACGATTTACTTTCCCTGTCACATTCTCTGTAAACTATTTGTATATATTGATTACCTCCCAAAGCTTCAATCTTTCTTCTCCTTTGCTGAGTTATGCTCATGGGGATTGCTTTCTAACTGATTTAATTATATGGGTTTAGCAGATTTTGTGGAAAAGATCTGACTTTGAGTAATGGCTCCAGCTAAAGGTACGGCCTTTTCCATTGGTACCTGTTCTGTTATCAATAATATTAGTCTTTTATTAGCCTATTAACTCTCTCTTGCCTGTTAGTTGCCTTTGTTTGAGAGTTTATTGTTTTAATACTCTTATCATTAGAAAACGATACTACCATTTTTTTTTCTAAAACAGTATCCTCAATTGTGTGATAGAACTACTTATTGTATCTTCAACGTGCTTAATGTGACTTTTCTTTACATTGGTTACTGTTGAATATCTCCTGTTAGTATCATACATCTTTTTCTGAAAGTTGCTAATAATGGTTATAAATTAGTATATAATTTGAATTTTAAATGAGTTTTGCTTGCATCCCTGGTCTTGTCAGGTTCATGGTTTGATTTTTGAATCTGAGAGGTGTTTAATTGACTCTTGTAGAAAAAAAATGTCCAAGTTTTTTTTGTTCTCAAAGCTATCTAAATTAGTTCAGCTCTCTTTTTTTGTTTGTTGCAGTTGATGTCACTAAGAAGGTTGACCCAAAGGCCAAGGCCTTGAAAGCTGCCAAAGCGGTGAAGTCAGGCCAAGTCATTAAGAAGAAGGCGAAGAAAATCAGGACAAAGGTGACATTCCACAGGCCAAAGACATTGACAAAGGCTAGAGACCCAAAGTACCCACGCATCAGTGCAACTCCAAGGAACAAGTTGGACCACTACGGAATCCTCAAGTACCCACTCACCACTGAGTCCGCTATGAAGAAGATTGAAGACAACAACACCTTGGTCTTCATTGTTGACATCCGTGCTGACAAGAAGAAGATCAAAGATGCTGTCAAGAAAATGTATGACATTCAGACCAAGAAAGTCAATACCCTCATCAGGTACACACGCATTTGAAAGCAAACCGTTCACTATAGGGAGATGGTTTATGATGAATGAATGAATGAAATGGTTTTGTTTGTAGGCCTGATGGAACGAAGAAGGCTTACGTGAGATTGACTCCTGATTATGATGCTCTTGATGTGGCTAACAAAATCGGAATCATCTAAACTATTATCATCCGAACTCTACTTTTGGAGTTGAAACAGACTTCTTGTTCTTCTCTTCCTAAGTCCCAGTTTTGCTAGAGAGATACTATGATGATGTTTTATTATGTGCTTTTTAAGTTGGATTCAAAGATATGGTTTGGTATTTCTATTGCAATCTCTTTTGAAAGCGGTTAATATGCCTTTTGACTCGTACCAACAATTTAACCAACTTAAAAATTCAAATGGGCTTTCTGTAAATAGTAATATACTACTAAATCACAAAGTTGTTGCTTTAATTGGAAAGCGTGACCACTAAACTTCTCTATCAATTTGTGTATCGTGCCAGCTGTAGTGTCAAGTGTGTTACGTACAGTTCACAGTGGAACCCACTGAAATTATATTTTCTTGCTCTTACTCATACTATTATGGAGTTGTTATGTTTTCTTCTAAAAATAAAATTGAAAGTCTATTAATCTCCGGAAATAGACATCGATGCAATTACATACCAGAAAAGAAGTCAGTACAACCAAACGATTGGTAGCTTCGACTTATTGGCTGTGGACGCAATTCCAGATTCTTCTATCATCAGTACCGCACCGGGTTAATCCGGTAAGGGAGCCTTCGCATCCCACTCTCCTCCTTGTTGAATTATTATGTTACCGTCCACGTGATACTCGTGATTACAAACACCATTTATAATACAAACATTTATTTTAGCTTGTTTTCAGAAAAGAAGAGGAAACAATCTTTTTTGCATCGGACCTTATAGTTGACCAAATATAATATGATAATCGGGTAGACATAGAATAATAGGTTCAGAGGGAACCTAATTAATTGGGTGAGTACACAAAATCAGTTACAGATCTTGATAGCCACGTTAAGTTGTCGTTTTCGTTTACAGAGAAGGCCCTTTATATATCTATATAACAACTGTGTTATGGGCTTCTGCAGAACACACACTAGCGAAGTAATATGAGCAATCATCAAACGACGGTGAGATATATTATCTTTCTATCTTGTTTACCATTATCTTCTATCTCACTTGCATTATTCCCATCTTTATGCAATTTTATCAGATAAGGATTTGAAATAGACAGTGTTGATAAGATCTCTTTATCTTCAAATTTTATGTTTCAGTCTTATTAATCTGAAGTTTATTTGTGTGCTTTTTAATGGGAGAGAAGCAGGTGCTGAAGCAACTGGAGCCATGGTGTGAGCTCAAAGACAAAGTAGTTCTTCTGACAGGAGCTTCTTCTGGTATAGGAAGAGAGGTCTGTCTTGATCTGGGCAAAGCTGGCTGTAAGATTATCGCAGCAGCTCGCCGTGTCGACCGTCTCGAATCTCTCTGCTCTGAAATCAACAGCCTAAGTTCAACCGGAATCAAATTAGCCGCACCACTCGAGCTAGACGTTTCATCAGACGCAGCCACCATTCAAAAAGCGGTCAAAGAAGCTTGGGACATCTTTGGAAAGATAGATGTGTTGATCAACAACGCTGGAATCAGAGGCAATGTCAAAACGAGTCTGGATTTGTCTGAAGACGAGTGGGAAAGAGTATTCAGAACCAACTTAACCGGTCCTTGGTTAGTATCCAAACACGTATGCAGTTTAATGCGTGACGCTAAACGTGGCGGCTCGGTGATAAACGTCTCGTCCATCGCCGGTCTCCACCGCGGTTTGTTACCGGGTGGAGTTGCGTATGCTTGTTCCAAAGGTGGTGTTGACACAATGACGAGGATGATGGCTATTGAGTTAGGTGTGTACAACATAAGAGTGAACTCGATCGCACCCGGGCTTCTTAAGTCAGAGATCACACAAAGTCTTATGCAAAAAGAGTGGCTCAAGAACGTGACGGAGAGGAGTATCCCGTTAAAGGTGCAACAGACCGTGGATCCGGGGCTTACCTCGCTGGTTCGCTATCTCATTCATGACTCCTCTCGATATGTCTCCGGGAACACATACATTCTCGACTCCGGAGCTACAGTACCTGGCCTGCCCATTTTTTCTTCTCTTTGAGCCTCAAATCTTGTGTGTTGTGTAATAAGTGAATACATTTACACATTTTCTTTACAAACATTGTCTTCCGAAAATAATCTGGCACACACACAATCGATGTACCTTGGAGAAATAAGCTTCATCACCGTGGAAATCTACACCTATTTGCTACAGAACTAACCGTGGTTGCATCATTTCTATATCAGTCGATGTTGGCGTAGACCTTTACCGAAATGTGGTTGCATTAAACGGACGTATAATCCATTCTTTGCTGATAAAGCATCATGTGTACCTTCCTCTACTATTCTCCCTCCATTAAGAACCACAATGTTATCAACATGCCTCATCATAGCAGCTCTATGCGCTATCAGAATCGTCGTTTTATTCCCCATTATCAACGTGTCAAGAGCTTCTTGGACGACCCGGCTTGATTCAGATTCGATAGACGAGCTTGCTTCATCTATCAATATGATGGGAGCGTTTTTCAGCACTACACGTGCTATCGCTGTTCTCTGTTTCTGTCCTGGGGTAAGTTCCACACCTCTCATCCCCACATGTGTGTCGTAGCCGTGAGGTAAGCTGCTGATGAAATGGTTAGCGTTTGCTATTCTCGCGTTATGCCTTGCGTATATGATGTTATCTCTGATTGTCGTGGAAAAGATTATGGGTTCTTGCTGAACCAGACCCATATGACTTCTCAACCATCTTAGATTATATAGCTTTAAGTCACGCCCATCTAGGAGGACTTGACCAGCACCTGGGTCGTAGTATCTCTTCACGAGTGAGATTATTGTGTTTTTCCCAGAACCTGAGACGCCAACCACAGCTAACGTTTGTCCTCCACTGACTTTGAGACTGAAGTTGCTCAACACTAACACTTCGGGTCGTGATGGGTAGGAGAAGTCGATGTTTTTGAATTCAATGCTTCCGTAGACGTTAGACGGTTTGAGAGCAGAGTTATCATCTGGTTCAATCGTTGGGACTCGATCAATGATTTCAAATACTGATATGAGAGACTTGCGGCGTTTGAGAATGTAAGGTGCTAAACCAAATGGCTCCACAAGGGCAAATGTAGCAAAAGAGAAAACCATGTATTCCGTTATAGCTGTGGGTAACTTCATGTAACCGCGTTTAACAGATATGGCAGTGCACCATAAGAGGAGCGCGTTGCAGGCGAACAGAAGAAACTGTGAGAAGCCAAACGCAAAACCAATAGCCATCCCATGGTAAAAGCTCTGTCTGAGTATCCGCTGGAGTTGCATCCTGTAGAGTTTCATCACTTTTTTACCAGCACAGAAGGCAACAACAGTGTAGATGTTTCTTACAGCATCCTCGAGAACTAACGATGCCTTTCTATGCATCTCCAGCTGGATGCCTTTTGAGAATCCAGAAAGCCAAAGTTTCTGCAAATTTGTTTTGAGGGTGATTAAAATTCAATGTCAGCTGGATAAACAAACATTTCTGAGCCATGCGCATAAGATGAAATGGCAAAAAACAACGAAGCACATGCTAAACATATGTGAAAGAGGGGGCAATGACCGCAAGTTTACTAAACTATAAAATAAGAAAACAAATTCCAAGCAATTTTCTAGAAGAAACGATGCAAACCTGAGCAATGGCAGAAAGAGAGAGTATTGGCAGAGTTGCCAATGCAACAAACGCCAACCAAGCAGCAACCCAATAAGAAGAGCAACAACAACAGCAAAACTATCTTGAATCAATATGGAAAGCCTGTTGCTGAAGGCAGCTCGGAAAAAAGTAGCATCATTCGCTAAACGCATGGATAACGTATCTGGACTGTTCTCTTCATGATCGAACCATCCAACTTCGTTATGCAGCATTGCTGTAAATCAAGGAAATTAATTATGTGAGGCGGGTAAAAGTAGTTAAAATGTGGTGAAGTTATAATAAAAAAAAATACAGTACCTGAGAACATCATCCTCCGAACTGCTGTAAGAAATTGGCAACACCTGTCACTATCCCCATGGCCGCAAGGATCAAACACCATTTGTCAACCTCCTCGTGCAGGTGGCCTCCTTTGCTCCTAGGGTTAGTGGATCTGTTGAGTTTGTTGAGATGATGAAGAGGAGAAGAAGGATTGTTGGAGGGTCTGATAACGGTCACGATGACTGGGAATGTTTGTAGATACTTTTCAGGTGAACTGGTTCTCAACTGTTCAACTCTATTTTTCTGTTTCTTTTTTGTAAATCGTAATAAGGTTTTTTAAAATGGACGCGTTCAATTATTTTCTGTGGAAACCAATTAGAATTAGAATTTGGATTTTTTTTTTTGTATCGTTTGGTTTAAGTTTAATTTATTAATTTTTGAATTTTAGATTTTTTTGAAATGCAGAAATCGTTCGGTTATTTATGGATTTCGGTTTGCCAAGTTTGTTTTGGTTCAATTATTTCATTTTTATTCATAATAATGTTAGGAATCTTGTAATAACGGATCGATATATTTGCTGATCCAACTGGTTTGTTGCGATTTTTGGATAATTAGAGTAAAACCAGATTTTTATGTATTTTTCGGATGAAAGATCTTTTAAATAAATTTTAAATATTTAGAATACAAATATTTGATTTATTTAATTTTAAGGTAATTCAGATGATTTTAAATAAAATATATAATATACTTTTTTCATATATTTCGGTTTATACATAATCTTGTAGGATGTTTGATAATTTTAAACAAACTATAATTCATCTTTTTATTATTTTATGTCTATAAATTTTATTCTGGACATTTATAAACATTGGTTCGGTTTTGATTTTTCTCTTCCAAACATATAGAAACCGTTTGAATATTTATAAATATTGGTTTGGTTAATTCAAAGAAAAACCGCAATTAAGCATATGAACTTTCAATTTTGGGTTTATATGCATATGCTTACAGTTAAGCATATATATATTTGGATTATTGACTATGATCTGGGTACCAAATGTTTTTTTGAATTCATATAAATATTTAAAGAGTTTTGATTCGCTTGAAATCGCTTCAGTTCTAAATTTATATTTGTAAATACTTGATATCTTTTTATATTGTTCGATTTGTTTTTTTTGATATTTCATTCAAAATCTATCAAATTTAACCAAAATAATCGAAATAATTAAAAAAAAATATTTCAAATTCTAAATTTACCATTTAAAATTTTATCATAATTAAAAATATCAAAATGTGAAATTTACAACTAATTCATAAATAAAAAGCATACTTGGGCTTTTAGGTAGGATTCAGATATATTTTATCGGGTCTGAATCTGCTCAGACTGATTCTTCTTGGATTCAGAATTTTAAATAAAGGAGTTTTGTAGCCATAGCGTTTAGGATCAGATTGTTTCCTAGTTGATTCCTAGGAATTTTGGTTATAAAAGTAAAGCCATTAGTGAAAATGTGAGGGTGTTCAGGTGAGAACTGTGAGACTACAAGTGAGAATAGCATTCCTCTCAGACGATCAGATATATAATGGGAAACAATGTAGAAATGTCAGAGTATTGAGTCTCTCTTACTGGAGAAGAATAGTGTTAATGAAAAGAGACAAGAAGAATGAACAAAAAACTCAGGCTTTTTCAAAACATAAGTGGTGACCAAACCAAACTTGATATTTTTTCAAACAGTGATCTTGAAAGAATCTACCACAGTGTGAAGCCTATCTTTCATCTTCTCCCACCTTCTTTCATTAGCCCCAGTCGTCAATGTGTAGAATTTTCCTGCACAGTAAAAAAAACACCATTTACTACCGTTGCATTGTATACGTGTATGTTTTAGAGTCATGATTACGCTGATGATATACATACCATTGAAAACTGTGATGACACCCAACGCATGGCGAGTGTAGTTTCTAGCCTGAGCAGTGAACTCAAACTGATAATAAGTCTTCCCATCCACTTCTTGCTGCAACAACTCAAACAAAGCCAAACAATTAAAACTACATTCTCTTATATAGCTTCCAATCAAATATATAGTGAAAAGTAGATAAAAGGAAGTGAGCAGACACCTCTGATGCATTAATAAGAGTAGTCTTCTGATTTGGTGGTGCCAAAACTTTCTTTACCAGTGTCTCAGCAATCTG